CACAGGTATGCCGACGGCTGGTTTATGCCGACGGCTGCTGTCGGCATGTCTGAATCTACAGCGACGGCCGTTCTGTGCCGATGGCTGCCGTCGGCATAGCTTCATGTAACCCGACGGCCAGGGTAGGCCGACGGCTAGGAATGGGCTGTCGGCATATCTCAAACTAGGCCGACGGCAGCCGTAGGCATAGGTTTGGCCGTCGGGGTAGGACCGTTTCCGGTAGTGACTATGGCTCGTAAGTATATCAAACCTCTGCATATACACAAATTTTGTGTGGAATGAAGAGATTTGTACACTTTGTTTTGCTGTGACACGTAATGTGTGGAGTAATTAACTGTAAGGAATAATACGTACCAAGATGGGCTCATTTGGAGCGGCCTCCACTTTACGGGTTTTTCTAGCTGATGAGTAGATGGGGGTAATATCAGATTTTTGTGTGAGCTGATTAAACAGGAGAGATCACCTCGAGGATCAGTACGTGAGGACTTGCAGGAAAGCCTTGCTCCTCGAGGATTCCCCTTGGCGTGCCTGCCAGAGGGAAACAAGATTCATGATTTCTCGAAGATGCATGTATCATAGAACGATGAAGGAAGGTGCTGCTGCTCAGCTGCGAGAGAAGTCTACCCGTGGCGTCACCCCGGCGGCTCGCCGGCCGCGGTGGCGGGCTGAGGCGATGTCTTCAGTGCCCGTGCTCCATCATCACCAGATCGAAGCATCCCCGAACAGAACACCACTGTCGGCTGTGCCGCCTCCCACCCTCCCCTGCTCCCGAAGTCCACCGGCCCTCCCCCGCCTGACTCTGCTCCTTGGCTCGGTCGCTCATCACCAAGGGGTGGAGGAAGATGCCATTGGTGGCGAGTCTGCCCTATACAGGAGGCGCTCCAGATCCGGCCGCGAGCCGTGGATCCCCCATCGGCCGCGTGATAGAGGGGGCGGGGCTGCTCGTGGAACTCGATCTGGGCATAGCCCGGCCCGTGTAGGGCACTGCTCCTTCCGGATCTGCAGCCATCTCCTTAGCTGCGGCGGCGGCGCATAATCGAGGGGAGAGGGACGCTAATTACTGCCTAACCCGAAGAGAGATATTTAACCAACAATGCAACAACAAGCACGAGCAACTGAAAATTAGCGATCCTCGTTAGGAGGTTTCGCGGGGCTAAGTTAGACGTGTGTTCGGCACATGGTACCAACAACAACCGCATATTTTAATTGCTGGTCGTTATAGGCATAATCTCTAGTAGATATGCTGCGAGAGGCGATGGTAAGCATCATGTCCTGGATGACCGAGGTGATGGTGCCAAACGTCGTGAGGGGCGGCGAGCGTGGCGAGGGCGCGAGGTGGTGAAGGACATGCGAACGTGTAAAGATCCCCCGTACTATTGCACCAAAGAATCTCTCACCGGGAATGAAGGTCCTTCACAGAGAAACCAAAGGGGTCAAAAGCGACGATGCAATGATTATCAGTAGTGAATTGACCAACAGAAATAAGATTTTTGATGATACGGGGTGTGACCAAGACATGGCGTAAATCAAGTGGTCTGTTAGGGAAGCGAGAAGGAAGTGAAGAATGGCCAGATGTGGTGACGGGGATGGCTGGACCGTCGCCGACAACAACGTGACGATATATATGATGGGGGAGAGAGAGAGGATAGGATATCGGCATCGGAGGAGAGGTGGGCGGTCATGCCGCTACCCATGACACACTCAAAGACGGGCTGCTGTAGCATCATGTTGGTGAAGTGTTGAGCGAGAGCAGCGGTGTCCCATGTCGGTGTCGGGGTCATTGGTACAGCGTAGGGTAGGACAGCTCCGTAGGGAGCGGCACCATACGGGGTTGTACCATAGCTGTCGTAGGGCACACCAAGAGCAGCCAGAGGGGCGGGCATGTAGGCGTGGGCGCGAAATCTTGGACCTCGTCCAAGGATGCTGCCGGTGTTGTTGGAGCGGGACTGCATGGGCCACATCTAGATGGTGCCAGTCCGAGGGTTGAACGGCATCGACATGGGAGGAGCACCACCGGCGGCCTTCTAGCCCTTGTTCTTGCCTTTCCCCTTGCCGTAGTCGGTGACGTGGGGGTTATGGGAGGAGGTAGGAGGCCGCCACGGCTGACCACCGCCGCCAGCACCTGGAGGAGCGCCGCTGCCGGAGGACGAGCCGCCACCATTGGGAGGAGTGGGGATGGGCCCCTGGCGGTGTACAAGGCGGAGGCCGAGGTGCTGTTGGAGCGCTGAGACACCTTCGTCTCCTAGAGGAGCAACATGTTGCGGAAGGTGAGGAAGGATGGGGACAGCGTGAGGAGTGGAGTGATGTTGGCGACGCTGTCGAAGCGCTCGTGAATGCCCTTGATGATGTTGGTGACGAGTTCCACGTCGGAGACGGGCGCGCCGACCTCGGCAAGGGCGTCCGCGTCCATCTTTTGCAGGTGAAGGTAATCGGCAATGGACCGATCCTCCTGCTTGATGCCATGGAACTCCTCGGCGAGATAAATCTCGCGGATCTTCTTGTTGTCATTGAAGAGCTCGAGGACGGAGGTCCAGACCTTGTATGCTGTGGCGGTGGTAGGGTCGGTAGGCATGATGAGGTCAACGATGTCCATGGCCATCGAGCCATAGAGCCAGCGAAGCACCATGACATCGAGGCGGAGCCATGTGGGGTCGGTGGAGTGCATCTCGGTGGTGAGATTGTCCTCGAGGGCGTAGGTGGTGACGGCGATGGTGAAGAAGTTCCTCCACTTGGGGAAGACGGTGCTCTTGAAATCGAGGACGACGGGGATGAGGGAGCGGATGCTCTGGACGGTGGTGGCCTGCGCCCAAAGAGCAGTGTTGGGACGAGGAGGGGTCTCGGGGGGGGGGGCACATGGGAGGGGAGGGAGATGGGGTCCATCGGCGCGAGGGTTGAGGGCCGCGGTGCAAGGGTTGGAGAAGGGCGGAAGCGTGAGGATGTTTAGGCTGATACCATGAAAGACTTTAGGAATATTTGCCACACTTGGCTTTTCCATTGCATGTTAATATATAGACATATTTAAAAATCCTAACCATAACATGAAAAACACAAAAATATCGATACTCGTCAATTTAGGAAATTAGGAGATATGTCATGATACCTGACATATTAGTCCAACAGAATTGATGTTGGGCACATGGGCATATGTGGATCTCTACGATGACTACTTTGCCCCTAATGCGCCGTTCAATTCTTTTCTCGACGTTCATTGGATGCAGCGACCATTGTTCTTGTGTATCATGCAAGGGGTTAGGTCTTATGATGATTACTTCAATTTGATGAAGATAGAGTTCTCTGGTCTCTCCGAGTGCATGGCTTCTATCAGGATAATTGTGTAGGCACAACCGCAAATTCATGGGATGAATAGCTCTAGATATCTGAGAGCACTTGCCTAAAGGCAATGGTTAGATTTTGTACTACAGCGGTCAAGCTGTTGAACCTGAGAACTTGAGAGAACCAAATGCCAAAGACACAACTAGGCTCATGGCACTTGGAGAATCAAGAGAGTTCCTAGGTATGTTCGGATCCCAAGATTGCATGCACTAAAAATTGAAGAACTGCACATATACTGGACAAACAAAATACTAGGGCCATCGCAAAATTCCTACCATCATTATTGAGGCATATGCATTCAAAGACTACGGGATTTGGCACTCTTTCTTTGACATGACAGGATATCACAAGTCAACAATGACATCAACGTGATGCGGCGGTCTCCATTATTTGAAAGATTATGTGCGGGCAAAGATCCTACATGTGGTGAATGGAGAAGGGTAAACGAAAGATGGCCTAGCTTGCTTCGAACAAGAAGATCATTCCGAAAAATATGCGAGGCATGGGTTTTAGAGACATGAGAACTTTGAATTAGGCTCTTCTAGCCAAGCAAGCTTGGGGATTAATTCAGAATCTGGATAATCTTGTGGCACGACTACAGAAGGACAAGTATTACCTCAACGAGAACTTGGTTTTTTCTTTGAACACAGTATAGACGCAAGCGCTCATATAAACGCGCATACACTCACCTCTATGAACGCACACACGCACACCCTACCCCTATAAGCACCTGGGGCACTAGGTCTCGGCCTTTCCGTACATTCCACTGGGCTAGGAAATGACGCCTAAATGTTAGGCCACACGGTCCATCTGGTCCTGGGCCTCTCCTATGGCAAATGCTAAAAACAGCTTATTCTGAGACATAACTTGTGCTCGCCTATATTGGAGGAGATCGACATGGTGGACTGGCCCAATAATTGTGTTAGTTAGAGGTTAATTCAAAAAGGTTTTGCAGTTTTTGAAATACATGTCTGCTTTTTTTACTACACACTGAACTCTTTCTATATACACGATGATCTTTTTTTTAGATACACGTTGAAATTTTTTTACATAAATGATGAACATTTATTCAAAATTTCAAATACATGTTTAATATTTTTCTATAGAAACCAGTGCCTGGATACGTGTCCACAGCAACGACCATTCATGTATAAGCCAAAGCTAGCTAAGGAACATCTATAGTTGACTTCTCCTGCTCTCCAAATAATATGCATCTGCTATACGTGTCCATGCATGGTACCCAACGAACTAAGCAACCACACAACATACATGGCCATGGCATGAAAGTCATCACACAGCATATCTTCAACGCATTCCAGCCACGAGTATCCCGCTATTCTGTGTGCGGAGCTTGTTTGAAAAATGGATGCCCATCAAGTATTGAAACTCGCCGGGCGTATATCTCGCTCTAATCATTTTGTTGGCTAGCGTAGCGCATAGAGATTCAGAGCATCCATAAGCGTAAGGCTACACGTACGTAGATGGATTTTATGTAGTTTAAGTTAAGCTGTAGAATTAAACTTGAACGATCAATCATGGGATCAACATGTACGTGCGACCGGGCTATAAATACCACCCCCCACAGAGCTCAAACTCACAGCACCTACAAATCCTTGCTACTTGCTACCTATAGTAAGCATTGCTTCCTCTCGATCAAAGATTTCGCAATGGCGCCATCGACCAAGCTCTTCCTCCTGCTCCTCGGCCTGAACCTGATGGTCGCCGCTGTGCACGGTGGCTGCGGACCCCACTGCCCGACCCCGCCGCCACCGTCGACGACCAACGGCTCGTGTCCGATCGACACGCTGAAGCTGGGCGTGTGCGCCAAGGTGCTGAACCTGCTAAAGCTTGGGCTCGGTGTGCCGCACAGCGAGACGTGCTGCCCGCTGCTGGCCGGTCTGGCCGACCTGGACGCCACGGTGTGCCTCTGCACCGCCATCAGGGCCAAGGTCCACGGCGTCATCAACCTCAACGTCCCCATCGACCTAGTGCTCCTGCTCAACCAGTGCCACAAGACCTGCCCGCCCGGCTTCACCTGCCCACTCTGATCGATCGACGTATACTCGTCCAAGCATGGCATGCTGCGTCCACATGCCATGCATTGCACCTTCCTATTCCTATATGCTACTCCAGTTTGTTTATCAATTCATCTATATATCTCGTGCATGCCTAAGTTTCGTGTCATGCATTCGCGTTATGCATGCATGCAGTGATCACTTCGTGTTGTGTGTGAAAGTGTGTCATGTTGTTGTGGTGTCCAAATAAATAGGCCTCGCAATCGGGGGTTTGTATCATGATGTGAAATACCGTACCGGTTATATGCTCTGAAATATGTTGAAGTTGTGTTAACTCGAGCTGTGTGTTATATATATTCTGCCTCTTCATAGTCCACTACTAAAACATGATCAGCCCGACCATGTTTTCGAAATGGGGTTGCTTGTTCTGTGAGTAGTCCTCATGTGGTAGGTTTGTATAGGTTTTCGCCCGGTTTTCCAGTAATTAACCGGGCAACTCTCTTCTGCTTAATTAATCGATGAGGCAAATCTTTTGCCTCCGTTTTGAAAAAAAAAACTACTAAAACATATACTCCCTCCATTCCATACTATAAAACCGGCATTCTTAAGTTTAAGATAAAAGAGGCATACAACTTTTTGACAAGTCAAACCTCACAAATTTTGACCAAGTTTGTGGAGAAAAACATTTACATCTGGAATGCCAAACAAATATCATTAGATTCATCATAAGAAGTAGTTTCATATTTTAGATATTTGGTATGGTAGCTACAAATAGTTTTCTTTGTAAACATGATCAAAGTTTGCAATCTTTGACTTCTCAAAAAATCTATACGCGCTACATTATGGGAGGCAGGGAGTACATGCACCTAGATCAAAGTCAACTCTATGATTTATATGGATCATAGGAAGAGAAAAAGAAATAAATTGGATCGACGATGAATTAATTTATTATTGACGAGAGCTTTATCGCCAACAACATGCAGATACATGGCAAGGGAGATGTAATGCGAGACCGTGCAGCAGCGATCTTTGTATGGGCTAGGCAGTTCATCTCATCCTTACATGCAGTTACGGACCAGAAACGTCTCGAAGCATAGTTAAAATGTTTAGAGCTGCATTTTCTTTGCATGGAAGTCATTGCAAAAGAAGTGGAAGCTGCGTATGGCTTGGTGTGTTCTTAGGCAGGAGAGTGTTCTATTATGTCGCATAGCGCATTTTCCTTCTTGTGTATCGGTCAAACGGGTTTGTGCAATTCAAAATGCTAGATGAAGTGGGCCGAAAGTGAGCCTGAGTTGAGCTGAGCACGCGGCTGGTTTTAGATGATGTGTGGGATTGCAGTTTTATATGGCCATCATGACTTAGGCTGGGCATTCATTAGCTACAAAATAATATTGGTATACTCTCATGAATGCACGTCAACAATTCATCTACTACCATTATAAAAGAAAGAGAAGGACAGATCCAAACAATCACATCCATCCATCATCAAAATCTAATGACTCTTAATCCTTCTGTGTTTAACGCTACAAACCACGCATTAAGACACTGCAATCGATCGATCTAATCTGCCCCGCAGTAAAAAAAAAGAAGAAAACCGCCCGCACGACATCCTCTTTCTCCTCGGCACGACCTCCTCCCACACCGTTCGCCTCCTCCCCAGTCGCGCCCTTCACCGCCACCTCCGCGCGCCGGAGCCACGGAAAGCCGCCGCAGGTCGCCGCCTCCACAGCCGCGGGAGCCCGCCCCTTCTCGCCGCTAACAGCGAGGCCCGGTGTCGCGCAGCCACCGCCGAACCCCTCCGCCCCCGACGCCGAGGATTGAGGCCGCACACGGCCCCCAACACCGAGGGTTGGCGCTGACCACCGATCCACCACCGAAAATGATACACTTACGGATAACTTGTTCAGAAAGCTGGCTACGCATTGCCGTGGCAGAACGAGAGAACTATGTGAGCCCGCAGTTCACGCAAAGTGAAATTTTGAGCGTCAATCAGCTGACTCCCCATCTGCGCGTAGCTGTTTTCCGTGGGCTGGCCGTCCGTAAGTGTAGCAAAGTCCATCCACCACCCAGCCGGAGCGGGCGCGATTCGCCACCCGTAGATCTCCGCTCGGTCGAGGCCGCACGACGCCGCTGTGTGCCCCTCCACATCACGTCGTGGGGTTGCTGGGCACGCCGCCGCCGATTCTACGCCGACACTGACACCAACTACTGGACACTGATTCCGTGTGTTGAGGCACGTTGTTCCTGGCTGCTGCCCCCGATGCCGACGCCATCTGTCGTCCCCGAATCAGCGCGTTCCGCTGCCGCTGCCGACGCCATCTGCCCCACGAATCCTTTCCCATGAGGTACCTTATTTTCTCTTCATCTACAAAATTCAGTGCACTCAAGATCGATGCCAACGACCAGACCTTCTCCCATGAGGTTTCTATTCCTAATGACCAGATCGATGCATGATGCATGTTTGCTAATTCTTCAGTGAATACATCAATTGATGCATAGAGACACGGATAGGCCACATTGCCCTTTGCAGTTCCATGTGATCAACTGATGTTTGTGAGTGACAATTTCAAGTACCAACTACTCCACGTATAGGATTTCAACGGGTCAAAAATCTTTTGATCTGCTACTTCTCTTTGTACTTCAGTAGTATCTTTTTCTTCTAACTGACATGCTTATGAACTAACTTGCAGTTGTTCCCACCAGATGAATGGCTGGTCGGAGGATAATTGCCATCAATGTATGCGCCAAACAGAATAAATATGATACTTGATGAATTTGTCACCCGAAAGAGTTAGGTAAGCATCCACCGTTCACATGACAACTTTGATCGTTCCTGCTTCTATGTGCATATTCTCTCTGTATGCCGATATATGAATGTATATGCAGAAGTCTGGCATTGCTTAAGTACTAACTGATACTGGGACTCATCAATGAAGAATTATCATTGGCCATGGCCTTGCTTCATATCTTGAACTGCAATTTTGCTGATAAGCTTGTGTCAAATGATCTGCGGTTATACACATAACTAGCATAGAAGCGATTTGCTTTCATTCATTCTTTTACGCAATACTTCTCTGTGTCTGTAGAATACTCTGCGAATCTAAAAAGTTTGAAGGATCTACCAATTGTACTGAGCCCTGGTACTATACATCATATTCTCTTGAAAATGTCACTCCATACATGATACATGTTTGCACCCCACCCCCAACCCCCAGCCCTACCCACCCGCACCAGCAATATCATCGTCCAATTATTATTTTCTCATCTTAACCAAATTTTCAGCACATAAGAGTATATATTGCATGACAACACTTGCCTGATAGATATATAGATGACCAAATAAAAAATGAATTCAATTTCAATTCATGCTGCAGCATCTAAGTACTACTCTTTGACGACATTGCCAGGGCTGCTCTGCTTTTCGTGCCTTCAAAAGCACCAACCAGTAGGTTGAATCTCGGTTGCACTTTCACCTCATCAAACCAAAGTTTTAATTGACATCATCATCTACTCCACCGCTTCATAGCCATCATTTTGTGATTATACAGTATCTAGCAGTGGTATACTCATGCTGCATATCTTTTACAGACTAACTTTTGCATTTACAAATTTTGATTTACAAATGGAGAATCGTAATCTGCTAGACATGAGGCATGAGGCAGCCACACCAGTTTAAGTTGGGAGATACCAAGTACCAACAGCAGTACCACGAAGGTTCTGTTGGAAATATGCCCTAGAGGCAATAATAAAATGGTTATTATTATATTTTCTTGTTCATGATAATTGTCTATTGTTCATGCTATAATTGTGTTATCCGGAAATCATAATACATGTGTGAATACATAGACCACAACACGTCCCTAGTGAGCCTCTAGTTGACTAGCTCGTTGATCAAAAGATAGTCATGGTTTCCTGACTATGGACATTAGATGTCATTGATAACGGGATCACATCATTAGGAGAATGATGTGATGGACAAGACCCAATCCTAAGCATAGCTCAAAGATCGTGTAGTTCGTTTGCTAGAGCTTTTCCGAATGTCAAGTATCATTTCCTTAGACCATGAGACTGTGCAACTCCCGGATACCGTAGGAGTGCTTTGGGTGTGCCAAACGTCACAACGTAACTGGTGACTATAAAGGTGCACTACGGGTATCTCCAAAAGTGTCTGTTGGGTTGGCACGAATCGAGACTGGGATTTCTCACTCCGTATGACGGAGAGGTATCTCTGGGCCCACTCGGTAAGGCATCATCATAATGAGCTCAATGTGACCAAGTGGTTGGTCACGGGATCATGCATTACGGTACGAGTAAAGTGACTTGCCGGTAATGAGATTGAACGAGGTATTGGGATACCGACGATCGAGTCTCGGGAAAGTAACGTACCGATTGACAAAGGGGATTGCATACGGGATTGATTGAATCCTCGACATCGTGGTTCATCCGATGAGATCATCGAGGAGCATGTGGGAGCCAACATGGGTATCTAGATCCCGCTGTTGGTTATTGATCGGAGAGTAGTCTCGGTCATGTCTGCGTGTCTCCCGAACCCGTAGGGTCTACACACTTAATATTCGGTAATGCCAGGGTTGTTGAGATATTAGTATACGGTAACCCAAAAGTTGTTCGGAGTCCCGGATGAGATCCCGGACGTCACGAGGAGTTCCGGAATGGTCCGGAGGTGAAGATTTATATATAGGAAGTCAAGTTTCGGCCATCGGGAAAGTTTCGGGGGTAATCGCTATTGTACCGGGACCACTGAAAGGGTCCCGGGGGTCCACCGGGTGGGGCCTGTTGGGGAACGTAGTAATTTCAAAAAAATTCCTACGCACACGCAAGATCATGTGATGCATAGCAATGAGGGGATAGTGTGATCTACGTACCCTTGTAGATCGACAACGGAAGCGTTTGGTTGATGTAGTCGTACGTCTTCACGATCCGACCGATCCAAGCACCGTTACTCCGGCACCTCCGAGTTCTTGGCACACGTTCAGCTCGATGACGATCCCCGGGCTCCGATCCAACAAAGCGCC